TATCGCGCGCGTATGTATATATATATATATATATATATATATATATATATAAATATATATATATATATATATATATATATATATATATATATATATATATATATATATATATAGCCAAATGGATAGCTACTAGCCAAATGGATAGCAAAAACATTACACCACTACTTCTCCATCTTACACGTCCCAGGCAAGCACATCCAGATGGCAGATATGTTGTCGCGTCTACACGAAGATACTATTAATACTAAAACTTCAAAGGTATTAAAAGAAGAGAACGAAACAACACATAACAGCCAAGAATACACATAACCATATCAGCCGTAGACTGGATGTTACCCCCCAGATTCTACTAAGAAGCTGGACGGCGTGTTGGGAAAAACCCAGTAGATCTGTTTGCATCGGCCCACAATGCACACACAGATATATACTACACCAAAGAACACAATGCACTTGAATCCATGGGCGAGCCCACCATGGGAAACCTGATGTCCTTGAAAAAGTCATTGAAGAGGCAACCAGCATCACAATATGTGTACCATACTACCCTAGTGCAACGTGGTTTTAGAAAACACAAACAATACGATGCTCAAAGAAGGCACGAAAGCAGGTGGTAAGAATCCATGGTGTGTCACATTAGTAGCAAAGATAGGAGTGAAGTTTCCATACTTTGACTCAACGCGGGAACAACCTGCCATACATGTTGCTGCGTCACAACCAGTTCACTCTGAAGACGAACCACAAGCAACATAATACGAGACGTGTCAACATTATCGAGCAATACCACAACTTGGTACACTACACATCTGAGGAAAAGGTAAACAAGTTGAAAACAGATGGACATGATTGGCCTGGAACCCAACAGCATGTACACAAGTTCATCGAAGGATGCATACCATGTCTCAAAACAAGATACACAAAAAGGGATTCCATCCCTTACAATCAATCACAGCCGCATTTCCAGGCCACAGAGTCCAAGTGGACACCATTGGGTCACTATTGGATTCCAACAGAACACACAAATGTGTTAGTATGGCTAGATGTACCCTCATCATATGTCATATTACGTCCAATGATGGACAAATCAGCGGCTACTATAACACGCACACTGGTACCAATCATGAGTGAACATGGATTCCCACAAATCATATAGACTAACCAAGGCACTGAATATGCTAGCAACATACTTTCAAAAGTCGTTGAACAAGCGCCAACACAACGCCTAGTCTTTCGGCCGTATCAACCTAAAGTCTTAGGCGAGAACGAGATCACACAGAGACCTCATGCCACTGTTACGGAAATTCATTGAGCAACCCCAGGTAACTGGTGTTCACGACTTCCCTTCGTACAGATGGGCCACAACCTGTGTACATCAAGAAGGCACAAGTCACCACGATTTAATGTGTATTTTGGTCGCAGACAGAATCAACCCACGGACTATAACACGCCAATAAACTAACCCAGTACAACAGTATCTTGGG